CAGCACATCTTCAACTGATTTATTTGTAAGTTAGATATCGTTGACAAAGTCTGACACCAAACTCACCATCTATCCATGCAATGCCCGTTTCCATACTGACAGTCTGTTGCATAACAAAGTCCATGATGGCATTTATGTGACCATAATTAAACATCCGCGTTAAGACCCCACAGGGGTGAAGGGCAGGAGTAGGGGGAAATAGCCACTTCACAGTGCTACTCTTTCACTCTGCTTGGCTGCATAGTCAGTACCCAAACAGAGAACCAGTTTACTTTGTGCAACAAACCTGTCTTTGCAATCAGAAGAGCTGGGAACCTTTATAATAAATACCAAAATTCTGAAGTCTGTCCACAGTCGTTGGATGAACCTGAATTCTCAAAATACCTGGAATTTCTGCACTCCGTGGAATTCTCTTACCCCAGATCAGAATCCAAGTTCACGGTCAGCCTAATAATGCCTTTTAAATGACAAAAAAACTAGATAGGAGTGAAGTAAGAATCAGGGACTCCTCATAGCAATCAACCTCATTTTAAAGCACTTTTCTCCTGCTTCCTTGTGAAGCATGTATTAATCCCGTGGCTATGCGGTTCTGCTTTCAGGCAGGCTCATTAACAAGATAATTATATTAGCTATTTTAAAAAGGGCTTTACATCATTATGTTGACCCTGATGTGTGGAGGCTTCTCTTTGGACCTTCAAGGTACACCCCCTCCAGGTACTAATCCAGTCTGCACTGCTTCAAAACAAGTTACCCACCCGGAATACGCCTTAGACTGAAGATAAAGTTAGATGCAGTAAACTAAGGCCGTGTCTACACTAGCGAGTTTACAGCAGCACAGCTGTGCCATTGTGAGATTGCACGAGTAGCCACTCTGCCGACAGGAATGCTCTCCCATCGACATAATTAAACCACCTCCAACAAGCAGCGGAGCTATGTTGATGGGAGAGTGTATCCCGCCGACATAGCGCTGTCCACACCAGCACTTCTATCGATGTGACTTGTATCGCTCAGAGGGATGGGTTTTTTTCCACACCTCTGAGCGACATACGTTATACCGACAAAAGTGCTACTGTAGACATAGCCTAAGAATCTGCGAATCTAGGAAATGGACGTAAGCAAGTTTAAGTTTCTAAGGAAAAAAGTGTTAGTGTCTAAGGGCCAAAGTATTTCTAAAAATAGTTCCTGGGGCAAATCCCACTCTGGGATACTCCGTACCCTAGAGTTAGCATGAGCGCTGCACATGTGTCTGAAGGCTGACCTGGCTCAATACATTTAGGCTATATCTACACTAGCACTTCTATCGGTATAACTTACGTTGCTCAGGGGGGCGAAAAAAACACCTCTCTGAGCAACGTAAGTCACACCGACAGAAGCGTCGGTGTGGACAGCGCTATGTCAACGGGGGACGCTCTCCCACTGACACAGCTACCGCCACTCGTTGGGGGTGGTTTAATTATGTCCGCGGGAGAGCTCTCTCCTGCCATCATAGAGCGGCTACATGTGCAATCTTACAGTGGCACAGCTGCATCGATACTGCTGTAAGCTCACTAGTGTAGACATGGCCATAGACATTGGACTAGATGACCATAAGAGTTCTTTCTAGTCTTAATCTCCTGCATAATACAGGCCATGGAACTTCGCCCATTGGTTCCTGAGTCTAGCCCAACAGTTTATGGTTGAGCTAGAGCACATCTTTTAGATGGACGTTCAGTCTTAAATTCTCCATCACTTTATCTTTTAAATTAACCCATCCCTTGGTAAGCTGTTCCAGGAGTTAACTGTCTTCACTGGTAAAAAAATTCTTTTTATTTCCAGATGAACTTAGTTGAATTCAACTTCCAGGCATTGCATCGTATTCTGCCTTTATCCACTAGATTAAGTAGTCCTCTAGTATCAGATATCTTCTCATACCCATGTATAGGTACTTATAGACCATGATCAAGTCATCTCTTAACCTTCTCTTCAGTAAACTAAATAAACTGAGCTTTTCAGCCTCTCATTGTATGACGTGTTTTTCAGACCACAAATTATTCAGATGGAGGCTGGATGTTCTTATTGAAGTCAGTGGGAACTGCAAGCGCATCTCTGAGTGTTTGATATGGCCCAAATTGTTTAGTTCATAAAGTAAAACGTGAACACTGTGTTTACTACCCCTTCACTCCCATTTCTCCTTTCTCCACTCCCCAATCTCTTTCATGCCTCTTGGGCAATGTAACTAGACTCCTGGGTTTCATTTTCCTTTCTCTTTGCCATGGGTCATAAACTTTCGCTGTGACTAAGTTCACACACACAGAAAAGAGTTCTACATGTAACAGAGCTTCTTTCAGTCCTGTTAAAAAGTGTCCCCACACTACAGTTTGCGGGTCTTATATTTGCGTGTAGTAATAAACAGCGTACTACATTTATTCCCTTTGTTGCAAGGTGGCTAGCAATTTTGTGCTCTAATGAAAATCTGTTGTTTCAAGAAGCTATATTTTTTGAAGAATTAGAAGTGTCTTCGTCTTGCAGAGGCAGTGCTGAGGCTGCAATTCCTGTCTTTTATTGTTTCTGTAAGTGGGAGTGATTATGTTTATAAGGATGTTCTTTTCCTAAGGACTCTGGGCTTAAAGTTTGATGGCTAGCATACACTGTGAAATTAATGGGTGGATATTCCATTATAAATAATCATATTTATTGTCCTTAAAGCATTACAAAAACATTGTTTAATCCTCAAAACACTGCGAGGAAAGTAAGTACTTGCCCTATCACAGAAATTGTGTATCTTAAAAATCCGTATCTAAATACTTACATGACCCTAGAACACGCCTGCACAACCTGTGGCCCGCGTGGGCTCACTGTGCGGCCCACGGGCAAGCGGCGGCGTGGGGCTGGGTTCGCCCCCTGCCCAGGGGGGGCCCCTCCTCACAGCCCTGCGCATGTGCGCCGCGCTCCAAGTACCCTAACGGCCAGAACCGCACGTGTCTCCGTCTCCCGCTCCCCCTGCCTGGCATACAGCGGGTGCGTCGCTTCCGGGGCCCGCTGAGGCAGGAAGCGCTGGGCACGAGGCAGAGCCGGTAAGTGCTGAGCGAGGGGAGGGGCGCTCGGCCTGGGCTCGAGCCGCAGCTTGGGGTGGGAGGATTGGGCCAAGACCCCCCCCCCCCCCAAGCCTCCCTTCGGTTGAGGGCGGGGCGGCTACTGCGCTGGTTGGTCCCAGGGCGGCCTCCGTAGTGATCAGGGGTGGGGGAAGGGGTTAAACTGTCTGTAGGCAGCCAGGAAATCCCTGGCCCCCTTCCCTGGTCCAGGGACCTTCCCTCTCCCCAGCCCCTATCATACTGCCTCCCCCCCCCTCCCCCGGACTCCCCGCAGCCCCTGTGTTTGTGTGTTGGACAGTCACATCCAATCCCTTCACACTGCCCCCCTTTCCCCTCCCCTTAGTTCATAGCCCCAGAAAATCCCTTCAAACTGTCCCCCCTTTTTCCTCCCATTATTTCATGGGGGGATCTCTCATTAAATTTGCAAGGTAACTATGAAAAGTACAAATGTTTTCTTTCAACAGAACAGGTGTTTTTCATTTTTCCATGATTCATAAAAAAAAATATTAAAAAAATTGTTTGCTTTAATTGAAAAATTCTTAATAAAGTATCACCTCCACCCCCAAACCTTCCTTTTCGGCCCACAGCTGTTTCAGCGGGGTGGCGCTGGGGAAGGAGAGTTTGTTTTGGCGGGGCGGGTGGTGCTGGGGCGGGGGGTTCTATTTCGACGGGGCTGGGCAGCGCTGGGGGGGTGTTTTTTTGGCGGGGTCAGGTGGTTTCGGCCCTCAGCTGTTTTCTTTGGAATAATATGGCCCTCGCCGCTTTACGAGTTGTGCAGGCCTGCCCTAGAATAAGTGACTTGCCGAAGGTCACACAGGCAAAGCTGGGAATTGCACCAGTTTTCTTGGGTCCCATCTAGTGCCTTAACCACAACACTATCCATCCTTTTGTTTAATGCGGCATTGTTATCCTGGTTCAAATGTGTGACGCTATTGAACATCTAGGAAGAGAACTCTCTTTCCCAAAGTCCTACGGCACAACCTCAGAAGACTGCTCACAATGTCTCAACAATATATACACCTAGGGTGACCAGATGTCCCAATTTTATAGGGACAGTCCCGATTTTGGGGGCTTTTTCTTATATAGGAACCTATTACTCCCCACCCCCGTCCCGATTTTTCACACTTGCTGTCTGGTCACCCTATATACACCTCTATATAACGCAACCCGATATAACACAAATTTGGATATAACGCAGTAAAGCAGTGCTCCGGGGGGGGGGGGGGGGCTGCGCACCCTTGTGGATCAAAGCAAGTTCGATATAACGCGGTTTCACCTATAACGTGGTAAGATTTTTTGGCTCCCGAGGACAGCGTTATATCGAGGTAGAGGTGTTTAATACAGCACTACTGGTGAGTATTGTGGCAAAGATTATTAAACAGTTCAGCTGTTGGTTATAACAACATAACCACCTTCTTCTGCCTTAGATGGTGCACTAGTGTCTCCTTTTTCTTATGATATAGTCATGACTTGATTGTTTTATAAGCGCTTTCCCTTCTGAAGGTACATTTCATGCCTTATCCCTTTGTTGTGGGATGTGATAAATTGACGAAATCTTGTCAGTGAAGAGTGAGCGAGACAGTGTTGTCTTTTGTACCTTTTCCTGCTGTACTTGAATAAATATGGAGATAAGTCTTTAAGTTGGATCCTTGGAGAATGATAACCTTGAACTCACGCTAAGGAGATGCAGCGGCACTTTATCAGCACTGGTCCCTCCACGCAAAGGGCCTGTCTACAGTAGGCAAGCCTGCCATTGTGCGGGGCATTGGTAGTGCTGTATGAAACAGCCACGCTCTTTCTTCTCACGCCGCGCTAAGATTTGCACCTCATAGGGAGGATGCTCCCATTCTTTTTCAGGTACTGGATTAATATTTTTTTTTTAACCAAATGGGGATTAAGAAGAAACTTTCCCATAAATTCCTGTTGCAGGAAGCAAAGCGTCATCCTTCCTCTGAAGCGGCTCCTGCTGGCCACTCGTGGAGACGGGATACTGGACGAGATGGGCTATTGGTCTGATTTCCTCTGGCAACTGCTAAGTTCTAAACTTTGTCTGTGCTCTCAGGCTGCTCACTTGACGGCGACAGCTGAGTGCCTTTGCTCCACTCACTCACTGGCTGTGGCTTTCTGCATCTGAACTGGAACAAATTTAGCAGTCACTAGAACAGGCCGCTTATCCCCTGGGAGGCTGGCCAGCATTCCCAGTGCCTTACAGGCTCTAAGAGGTGGTTTGCATCATGGGGGAGGAGGAAGACTTGACATTTGTAACTTCTATATATCTGTAAAAAGAGAGAATGAACTATCTGACCCTCATTTCCAAGAGGGATCTAAACTTTTCTTCTGGCTAGGAAGTCATTTCCCTCCATCCCTGCTGCTTGCTGGAAGGCTTCCCTGGCATTAGTTCCATAAGGTTATGTCTACACTGCAGTGAGACACCCGTGGCTGGCCCATGCCAGGTGACTTGGACTCACGGGGCTTGGGCTAAGCGGCTGTTTGATTGCGGTGTAGACGTTGGGGCTCGTGCTGGAGCCTAAGCTGTGGGACGCTCCCACCTTGTGGCGTTCTAGAGCCCGGGTCCCAGCCCAAGCCCGAACGTCTCCACCACAATTAAACAGCCCCTTAGCCTGAGCCCTGCAAGCCAGAGTCAACAGGCGCGGGCCAGTCCTGGGTGTCTGATTGCAGTATAGACCTACCCTAAGAAGCTAGTTGCAGAGGCTGTTTCCTTTCGAGCATTCTGTCAGGCCATTGTAGACACTTGCCAAAGTTTGCTATTGCTAGAGCCGGGCTGCCCAAGAACGCAGGTCTTTAAGAAGCTTGTCTCCATTGTTGCAGAGCAGCACGAGAATGAGGCGAGCCCTGAGCTGCCCCAAAGTGAGCAGCCCTCCAGGCAAAGGAACCTTCCCCTGGCTGGAGCTGCAGTTTGATCTCACAGCTGATTTCTCCATAGTATTGCTGACATATTGACTCCTCTGTGAAACACACAGCTGTTTATATACCCTAGGCTATTGGTAAATCTGGTTATATTTATCATAGGCATAGGGCCTGTCAGCTCCAACCTTGTGTCCCAGCTAATTAGCCAACTTTCTGCTGAACCTCACTGTGAGCTAAACTTATTTCTCTGCATCTGTCAGTCAAATGCAAAGGTATTTCAGACTAATAATCTGGAAAGGACTTGCCTGTAAATACGCACGTCGCTCAACATGCATGCTCTTTGTCACGCCAACTGCTGACTCTTGTGGGAGCATGTTTCAATGTGTTCTTAGATTGAGATTTTAAAAAATGTTACTTCCCTTGGCATAATTTTTTTAACCAAAACCTAATTTAGCTTAGTCCCTTTAATCCCAAACTATTGCTTACCAGGATCTCCATTATATCCCCTGGTGCGAATCCCTTCCTCAGTAACTTCCCCATTTATTTGGGTCCCCAGGCCAAACATCTACTCTCCTATTCTTTGCTATGATGAAGATTGGAAAAGCTAAATGATATATTACTAGTCCATCAAGAATAATTACTTGCCCTAGGCAAATGTATAAGCAGAGGTTTGGAGGGCTGCTCTACAAAGTATCTTATATTTTTCATGAGAGGCCGTTTTTTACATCAGTGTAAATGTATGTGTATTAATAGAGCAAATTACCTCCTGCCAAATGGCTGTAGGTGTCTAGGGCCTATTCAAGTCAATGCCCATGCAAGCCATTAATAATAGTTGTTTTATTGTCGTGCCTAGAAGCCTCCATTGAGATCTGGGCATCATTGTGCTCAGGACTGTAGAGATGTAGTGAGAGACAGTCACTGCCCTGTAGAGTCTGCAGTCTAAATAGGCAAGACAGACAAAGGGTGGGGAAAGGAAATATTATCCTCATTTTACAGACAGGGAACCGAGGCACACAGAGAGGCTTGCACAAGGTCACACAGGAAGCTGGTGGCAGTCAAGAATTGAACCCAGCTTTCCTGAGTCCCAGGCCAGTGCCATAACCACAAGGGCAACTGTCTCTGCATGTTTTGACAGAGCAAACTACCCCCTGCTACCTAATGGACACGAAATGGTGACATCTCATACCCAAGATGTTGATTCTGCATCTTCTGTGTAATGCTCTAGGCTCGTTCTAGAGGCTAGGGGCCTGATTCTCCCGTGTTCCAGCTTCACATGGGTAATTCCAGTGAAATCAGTAGCTGTAAACCAGGAGGTAACATACTGGTCAATCAGACCCTGTTTCTGTGCTTCTGCTTATCTGTGATCGAGGGTACACAGAAATCATTCCAACAGAGGCCTTTACTCTAGCATTTGGGGAGGGTAGCCAGAAGAAAATTACACTGCAAAATGCTTGAACTGCCAGGCACAGAATGAGTCCTGATTGCCCTCTTTGCATGTAATTTCAATGAGACAGTTAATTTGGGGGGAAGGGGAGGGGAGGGGAGAGAGTGGCTGTTTCTGAATTTTTTGTGTGTGTAAAGAGATTGTGCTGCCCAAATGGGCTCCATGACTGACCTGTGACCTTGTTTCCTTCCTTAGTTTGCTGCTGACCTCGACCAGCTCGATCAGCTGCTGCCTTCGCTGGAGAAAGCAGCCCAGTTGCCAGGCTTGTGTGGGACGGACAGAACCGAAAGCAGCATGGCCAGTGTTGCGGTCAAACCTGAGATTCTGACAGCCCCGCTCCAGCCCAGCGCTGCAGCAAGAACTCCAATGGGGCTTAATAGTATGTGTCCGTGCTAATAGCTCTGCTCTCTCCTGCTAATCCACAAGACCGTTTTCCAGTATTTGGGGGGAGATTCATCTCTTGTCATTGCAGTGGACTTCTAGGGATACAGTATTAGCTTTATGTGGTATACTGGGGCCAGTGTGTCCTCTTAATTGTGTTTTATATCTTAAAGCTTAGTGACCTTGCAGAGATGTGTTCACTATCAGACATCTCTTTGCATTTTAAACAGCCATGCCATGAGTGAGTTACATTCCTTCACAAATTGGGAGTTGGGGAGTCAGTAAGGAGCGGGTCGCTGTATGTGGTTTCGTGTCATCACTATCAATTTGGGTGCCTAGAGTTTCATCACCCACATCCCTATTTAGATACCTGAATAAATGGCCTGATTTTCAGAGGTGGGGCAGCACAAAGCAACTTTAGCAAAGCCCAGGTTTTCAGCTCTTTTCAGTGAAAGTAAAATAAACCTGGTGATGCTTTTACTTAACATTCACAGGCTTCCCCCCAGGGGTGCCGGTTGTATTACATCCGATAGGTTTCACTCAGCCAAGGCTGCCCTCACGTATCGGCTTCAGTTCTGTGAAATCCTCCCCCTTGCAGCCCCAGTGCATAGAGTGTAACCAGGTTCCAGCTTTGTGAAGGTTTACCTATCCCGGGGTTTTGTTTTGGGTGAAACAGAGTTGTTTGTTGCATCCACCATATTACCACAAGCAGAAATATTCATCTTATCACTGAGAATTACATTGAGTCTTAAGAGTGGAGGTGCAGATTTTTGCTAACGAACAGGACTGTCTGAAAGAGGGAGAGGGAGTGGGAGGGGAATTCTAAAAAGAAAAGCTAATGGTTGGCAGAATAATCCCAGGTATAAACCAATTAGCTGCTGTTCTGCCCTGGGAGGGATAATTCACACATTACTTATTCAGCAAATAGAGATAATGAAGCCGTTGGCTGTCTCTGCTGTCTCATGCAGAAATCAGGACAAAGCCCATGAAATAGGTTTGGCAGAAGGGGGTAAATGAATAGCCTGGAATGTTTTCATAGGACTCTAGTTTCAGGTGTCAGTAGAGGAAGTTCTGGAACAAATTGATAAATTAAACATAATAAGTCAGCAGGACCAGAAGGTATTCACCCAAGAGTTCTGAAGGAACTTGCATATGACATTGCAGAACTACTAATTGTGGAATGTAGCCTATTGCTTAAATCATCCTCTGTACTCGATGCCTGGAAGACAGCTAATGTAATACTAATTTTTTTAAAAAGAGTCCAGAGGCGATCCTGGCAATTACAGGCTGCTGGTAAGTCTGACTTCAGTACCAGGCAAATTGGTTCAAACAATAGTACTGAACAGAATTATCAGAGACACAGATGAACACGATACACTGGGGAAGAATCAACACAGCTGTTGTAAAGGAAAATCATGCCTCACCAATCTATTAGAATTTTTGAGGGGGTCAATAAACATGTGGACAAGGGTGATCCTAGGCTAAGGAGCCAGAGTAGCTGCAGTGAACTACATAACACCAATCTGACAAGCCCGTCTCAGCTCTAACAAAATGCTAGAATCGGTTATGCTAAGCTTATATTAAGTGAGAAAATTAACTACTAACAGCCCAAGTAAGATGGTGGCTTAACAGTGCTAACAGGACTCTACACAATTACCTATAGCAAAGTAGCACCTACTGAGCACAAGAGCCAGATTTTCAAAAGCACTTGTCATCCGTGATCGGAGCCAGATTTGTAGAAGAGTTCAGTGCCCAGTACAAATGGGCAGGTTTTCCAGAGAGCTCAGCTCCCAACATGCACTCAACATACTGAGCTCTCAAAATCTGCCCATAAGTGTCGCAATGCGTTCTGAGCTCTTGAAAACCTGACCCTGTGTACTTGGACTTTCAGAATGGGAAATGAAATTCAGTGTTGATAAGGACAAAGTAATGCACATTGTATAGTTGGGATTATGTTTTCCATACAAAATGATGGGGTCTAAATTAGCTGTTACTACTCAAGAAAGAGATCTTGGTGTCATTGTGGATAGTTCTCTAAAAACATCCACTCCATGTGCAGCGGCAGTCAAAAAAGCTAACAGAATGTTAGGAACCATTAGGAAAGGGATAGATAGTAAATACCATAATGCCATTATCTAAATCCATAATATGCCCACACCTTAAATACTGTATGCAGTTCTGGTCACCCCCATCTCAAAAAAGATCATTAGAATTGGAAAAAGTAAAAGTACAGAGAAGTTTAGCAAAAATGGTTAGGGGTATGGAACAGCTTCCATATGAAGAGACATTAAAAAGACAGTGACTGTTCAGCTTAGAAAAAAGGTGACTAACGGAGGGTGTGATAGAGGTCTATAAAATCATGAATGGTGTGGAGAAAGTAAATAAGGAAGTGTTATTTACCCCTTCATGTAACACAAGAACTAGGGGTCACCAATGAAATTAATAGGCAGTAGGTTAAAAACAAACAAAAGGAAGTACTTGTTCACACCACACAGAGTCAACCTGTAGAACTCATTGGCAGGGAATGTTGTGAAGGCCAAAAGTATAACAGAGTTCAAAAAAGAATTAGATAAGTTCATGGAGGATAGGTCCATGAATAGCTATTAGCCACAATGGGCAGCGAGACAACCCCATGCTGTAGGTGTCCCTAAACCTCTGACTACCAGAAGCTGGGACTGGATGACACCGGATGGATCACTAGATAATTGTCCTGTTCTGGTCATTTCTTCTGAAGCACCTGGCACTGGCCACTGTCAGAAGACAAGGTACTGGGCTAGATGAACCCAGTATGGCCATTCTTATGTAGATTCAGGCATCTTTAGAAGGGTAAAAAAATCCCATAGTATGAGGAAGAACAACAGCGTTGTAAGCAGGAGCAAAATTCTGCTCTGGAGGCCTGAACTCAGAGAATATTTTGTAGCTACACACACCAGTCATCCTTGGGAAACAGGCCTCTAGCACCAAATTAAAGAAAAACTCCATTAGTTGCAAGCAGGTTGTTCTAGTCACTGGGACCAGCCACTAGAGGGTGACATGGTGGTGTGTTACATACGCTTCAAGGAGAGTAGATTATCTGAATCAAGAGCCACCATATGACTCTAAGATCAGGATATTGGCTGTGAGAGAAACAGAGGAGCGCGAGTTGGATAGAAGATACTACACTGGGCGATAAACCTGGTGACGGCTTCGAATGACAGCTGCAGTGAGACTAAATGCATCAGAGAGCCATGCTGTGCCTTTCCACAATAGGGGAATGTCTGGCAGCTTGAAAAGGAGCTGTCAGCTCTAATCAGAGCCATTGACCAATTTGTCCCATCACCTCTCCACTGAATTCATAGCTAAAGATCAGACAGCCGCTTATCACTCAAGCCTATTATTTGCATGCCAAGAACTCTTATTCTAAAGACTCAAATGGACAGCACCTTCAGGGAACGGAGTACTAGGGCATTCATAATGTAGTGACATGAGTATAATTATAATGGGGCTTTATTGTCTTTGGGAGACAAGGGAACCTTATATCAGACAGGGTTGAAACAGAGATTGGCAAAGAGGAGGAGTACATCTATGGTGAGATGTGTCCAACTCTATGCTTTAAACTCCCAACAGCGACTCCCCATATAATCCAGAATTTACATATTCTTGCTGGGAAATGATACTTTATCTCAACCCCAAATGCCCACAAGGAAACCAGTTCCCTTTAAGTTAGTGCTGTTGGGTTAAACTGGTGCGTGGATTACAATGGTTAACTCAGAAAACGCACTGCATCTCTGCAGTGAGATGCCTGGTCATTACACTGACATTCAGCCCTCTGGAGAGAGCCCGTGCAAGGCCTGTACTCTGCACAGGGGTGAAACCTAGCCTAAGCTCTGATCAAAAGAGATAACATCTTTGAAGATGCAGATTATTCTACAGGGTGAATAAAGATGGGACCCCCCACGACAGGCTTTTTTCCATTAAATCACAGCTGAAAAGAGCAGAGGGTATGGTGAATGGTGGCTGGAATTCAGCCCTGTGTAGTGGGCCTGCCCGAGGCATGGGTATCACTTAAATCCCACTTCAGGCTGAGCGTTGGCCCACCGCACAGGGGTGAATTTCACCCTGTGCGGGTTTGTGAGGTCCTGGTTATGTACCTGGATCAAGTTCTGACTGCAGTGAGCGGACAGCTGTGAATTATCCCCTCAAGGGGCTCCTATGTTGATCTGAAGTGAGAGTGAGGTTTGTGCAGTTCTTGCACTGGGATTCAAAACTTGCTTATTTCATATAATACATAGGCACAAGAATCCAGTCAAACCTAGCCACCCTCTACATATCCTCTGCATATCCCTCCACCTGCCCAGCTTAACTACTGGGGTGCTGGTCCCTTTCTCTACAGCACCGTTGTGGTAGCAGCATGGAGTGCCTGCCTTCTCAGAAGTACTAAATCAGAGCCACGTCGCTGTCCGGTGCTGATCGGCAGCATAGTGTCCGTGTTTGCCTGCGTTCCTAAGGTGTGATTCCCTGGGGTGGGCTCTGAGCAATGAAGTCACATCTTGTCAGTCCCAAGTGCCATGAGTAGGCCATTCCCACACCAATCCCTCTCTTGCCCTCCAAAGTCACTGATGTCAGCTTTTTTGGCTGGCAGGATGAATCAGTCAAGCATTGGTAATGTCGTGATGAGCCCTCGGAAGCTGTCTGAGTTATGCTTATTTATTATTTAATGAATCTCTAGCTATTAACGGCGGGCAGGGCATGCAGGCTGGCCGGTCCCCATTTGAGTTCTGCGACCCCGTGGAGCCAGTTCAGCTCAGGCCAGCTCATTTTCCTGCAACGAATGGCAGCAGTCTGCGTTCCGGGTTACCGTCAGAGCAGGGCAGGGGGACAGTAACTGGACCAAACCCCTTCCAGCCTGATACAGGTATGTGCTCCCGCAGGGATCTGCTGATCTGGGCCTTCTGCTCCCTACTAGGTTATGCCTGCAGTTTCTGGGGGGATCTACCAATATAAAAGTATAGCAGAGAGGGCACCAAGATAAGTTAAATTCACCCCGTGCAGAGCAGAAGGTTTACATGGGACATAGGCTTTGTGTCTGAATTTCACTTTAGGGAAGGTGAGGTAATGTTAGACCTGTGTTTTGAAAACCAATTCTGATGGTGGCCCTATGCAAACTGGGTAAGGTAAAACAATCCCACCCAGCTTTGTCCAAGCAGAGAATATGGAGAAGCAGAAAAATTGATTAACATTGGTGATGAAAGACAAGGTGGGTGAGGTAATATCTTTTATTGGACCAACTTCTCTTGGGGAGAAAGATGCGTTCGAGCTTACATGGAGCTGAAGAAGATCTGTGTAAGCTCGAAAGCTTGTCTCGCTCACCAACAGAAGTTGGTCCAATAGAAGATCTTACCTCACCCACCTTGTCTCTCTAACGTCATGGGACCAACACTGCTACAACAACACTGCATACGTTGGTGCTGAAAGACACTACTGAAGCCACTCCCACCTTCACTGCCGTGTCTGGAAAAGGGCATGCACTACCCTTTCCTTTATTCCACTTACCTGCTGGGGAATACCGCTATGGTGTCTTGGAATGATAACCCAGTGAATGTGAATGTTTGAAATAACCCAGCTTTTTTTTTTTAATTCTGCATTACTGCGAAAAGAGAAGCAAACAGACCTGGCTTTCCTGTACCTGTTTCTAGACAGGTACTGTTAGATTAAATTGTCAGTGCCGGATAAAGCTGTTACGAGTTTAGTGCAAGGGCCATATTCCCCTGGAAATTGGTCTAAATATCTTTCCATAAAACTTGGAATGAATAAGCTACTTTTGAATGGCAACATTAAACTCCGTGAACAGGCTGGGGTTTCATGCTGCAAATGACTTTGGTTACACTCTCCCCAGAGGCTCATAAGAAGGTGTATAAACAGCTTCAGGAGTAAGATCCCAGTTCAGGCAATGAATTAAATTGGTGTGGCGGGCACCTGATGGTACTAGTGGCACAATGCTGGAGACCTTGGTATTCCTGCTTTCCAGACTATGCTACAGGGGTCTCCAGGAAGGGAGGATATTGCTACTCTGTCTCCACCTCTCCCCATCAACATGGCGAGATATTAAAGATGATCTCAGAAGAGAACCATATGTTTCATCCTCTGTGAAGGAAGAGAAGTGCTGTAATGGCAGCTCCACAGCAGGGAATGGATCACAGGAAGTCACAGACCCAGGACCGCTCACCTTCAGCTGGAAGCCAAAGAAAACATGTGACCATAGGAATTGCCAGACGGGATCAGACCCAAGGTCCATTGAGTCCAGTGTCCTGTCTCCAACAGGGGCCAGAACCAGACGCTTCAGAGGACGTTGTAAGAACCCTGCCAAAGGCAGATGTGGGATAATCTGCTCCCTACGTAGGTCTCTTCCTGAGCTCTAGTAGTTTGAGATTAGCGTGAGCCCTGAAGCACACAGTTTAATATCCTTCCAATATTTTTATTGCCATTAATTATGATAACTCAGGATCTTCTTGATGGGGGGAGGGCTAGCTCAGTGGTTTGAGCATTGGCCTGCTAAACCCAGGGTTGTAAGTTCAGTCCTTGAGGGGGCCACTTAGGGATCTGGGGCAAAAATCAGTACTTGGTCCTGCTAGTGAAGGCAGGGGGCTGGACTCAATGACCTTTCGGGGTCCCTTCCAGTTCTATGAGATAGGTATATCTCCATATATGCATCACTATAACTGTCCAGTCCCATTTATTCTTGTTAAATTCTTGGTTTCGGTGACTTCCAGTGGCAGTGAGTTTCACATCTTAATTACATACTGTGGGGGGAAAAAAGTATTTCCTTTTATTGGCTTTGAATTTGCCACCCTAATTTTATTGCATATCTCCTTGTTCTCACGGTATGAGACTGGAAGAACAAATGCTGCTGACCTCCCTTCTCCAGATTATTTAGTATTTTATAGACTTCTATCATGGCCCCTCGTATTTTTCTCCTTTCTAAGGTAACGATCCCAACGTTTTCAGTCTTTCTGCATAGGAGAGGTTTTCCAGGCCTTGATCACTCTTGTTGCTCTTCCCTGAATCTCCTCCAGTTCTGCAGTATCCTTTTGGAGATCAAGTGACCAGCATTGTGTGCAGTATCCAGATGAGGCTGCCCCATTGATTTATATAAAGGCATTATAACATTTTCATTATTATTCTCCATCTCATTCCTTATAGATCCTAACTTCTTGTTGGCATTTTTGACTGCACTTGTGCACTGAGCAGAGGTTTTTATTGATCTGTCTATAGTGACACCCATGTCTCTTTCTTGGGCTGACCGTTAATGTAGAACCCTTTACAGTGTACCAGTAGTTCACATTTTTCTCTCTAGTGGGCATTACTTTGCGTGTATCGATGGTGAATGACATTTGCCATCGTGTTGCCCGTTCACCTAGCTTGGTTAGGTCTCCATGAAGTTCTTCACAGCCCTCTCTGGGGCTGACTAACCTAAACAACTTCATGTCATCTGCAAATGTTGCTATCTCACTACTTATCCCTTTTCCATATCGTTAATAACTATATTAAATTTTAATAATGGAGAAATACCTATCTCCTAGAACTGGAAGGGACCTTGAAAGGTCATCGAGTCCAGCCCCCTGCCTTCACTAGCAGGACCAAGTACTAATTTTGCCCCAGATCCCTAAGTGGCCCCCTCAAGGATTAAACTCACAACCCTGCATTTAGCAGGCCAATGCTCAAACCACTGAGCTATCCCACCCCTCGCCCCCGTACTTACAATTTGGGACCTAGTACAGAACATTGCTGAAAGACTTCAGAGGCTGTAGTGCAGAACTCTTCTATGAGCCCAACCCTGTAAGACGCTGGATACCTCCTACAACGTACTAAGTGTCCTCTTCTCCTTCTGAAGTCAGTAGGTGCAGGAGATCTCAGGTCTTATATTAAATACAGGGATCAGTTTGAGTTAAGTTTTGCACTAGCTTTCCCAGACCGGAGACCTAGCTTGAGGACTTGCCTTGGCTCACAAGTGCAGTGAGCTTGGCAGTTGGTCTCATGCTCAGAAGGACAGTTTGGTATGATATAACTTTGGCTTAGGAGCCAAGACTGAGAGGCAGTGGCAGAGCTGTGTGAGGAAATTGCACACCGTTTGCCTATGTTGTGCCTTGTCCCAGCTGTCATGGTTATAAGCACTGACTTATTATGGTTCTGCCCATAGTGGCCTCTATCTAAAGTGCTTATTCAGTTGCACTTATAAGACTGTAGTTTGTGGAATGACTTGGATCAAGTTGACTCAGCACCAAAACAGTATCTGAATTGTAACTTAGTTTATCTGAAGGGGGAAGGAAGTTGCCTGTGGAGAAGATGGCACCTGGATTTCTGAATACTTTCCTCTTGCAGATTGGTGCACATGGACAGCAGCTGAACTGTTGTTGTTTGGAGAAGACCATAAGCTTCAGCCCAAGCAAATATGTGAAAACATGTCAAAGAAGCCTATAAAGAAACTGAATTAGGCTGCAAAGCAATTGCGCATGGAGCATTCTCTTGCCCAGCTGGAGCTGACGTTGCTGCTGCTAGAATTTCTTTTATTCTTCTGTTGCCAAGCAACCTTAAGAATGTTGTCTTACTGTACAGTAATTTCATGAAGTAAATGAACACTTGCAAGTTGACTTGCTGGTGCATAGCTATGATCAGATTAGCTGATCAGACAAAACTGTGGCAGCTAGATCCAGGCAGACTTCTCAGATTTTAGGGCTAGCTTTGCAGGAACCTGGTGACCACTTGCAACAATAGTAGGGTCATCTGTGGGTAATGACCATTTTGTAACTGTGCACTTGATTGAGGGCGTCAGTGGGAATGGAAGCTGGGACCTCTAGATCTAAAAGCGTGAACCTCTAGTGCTTGAGCTAAAGGACCGGGTCCATTAAGTTTGAAACAGCAGCTGCTAGAGAAGGACAAAGAGCCATACTTGGCCAACATGCGGTATGCTTAGATCCTGTCCTTTAAAGGATATGCACCTCTATAATCACTAATATATGTAACCCATTTTATTGCAAAAGGAATTAGCACGGCTGCGTATGGTAAAAACACCAAAAATAAATAAAGACTTTTCATTTTCAGTAACTGCTTTGTAAGTATTTGAAACCTTAGAAATAATAGAACTATACATGGACACAGGGGAGCATGCCCAGGAGAAGGGATGCCACCATGGTCACAGATTTTCTTATCCCTTGCAGTTCTCTGTTCGCATTGCTGTCCAATCATTAGTTTAGCCAAGATGCTTTTAGTCTTAAATATCAATTCATATTTCAAATAAGATGATGGTGTAAAGTCTCCAGACCTCATAAATTGCTCAGTTCTGGGCTGGGCTCAAACTCCTGCGGAATTTAAATTGGTTGAATTGGCCTTTTCCCTGTAAAATGAGTTTCTCCAGAATGGAAAGTCAAAAGGCATGAATATGTGTGCGCTTTATTTTGAGTTGGTTTTTTAGGCAAAATCTCCAGTGGTAACAACTTTCAATAAAGAATTCTTTAACTGGCTACATTTTGAAAACATTCGTAGATCTATGTAAAAGAGGGACTTACACAAAGCCGCCGTGTGTACAGCCTTTGAGAGAGACTTTCTCTTCCTATATAAGTGTACCCAGGAGATAATGTCTGTTGGTGTGAGGGAAGCTATGGCTGATATCTGCTACTTAGTGGCTGAAAAGGACAGCCAAATAATAGTCCTGCCATTAGGAACAAAGCTCTCTGGGTCTTGGGGTATATGTCACAAACTCTCTGAGCTGGAGTGTCTCTGTTTTCTGAAAACTCATGTCATTTATTTTGAAATCTTAGTGCACTCTTATCCCTTTCCTTATTGCTTCTCCTGCGCTCGCAAAGTGTTAGAGCCATGACACAATCACTGTCCCGCTACAGTCTATTAGACAGTGTAGTTGAGCTGCAGTAGTTAAATTGGGCTGCCTAGGTTGTGGGTGAGGGTGTGCCGTGCGTTGCAAGTGAAGGGAGTCGGCTGTGTGAATTCCCATTGCTTTGGTAAGATTTCACGTACTCAGCCTGATTAGAGCTTTGTTCACAGAGATATAGGACATCAATGTGGCGCAAGTCCTTGACCCTGCTTCAGTTGGTTGCCCCTCTGGATTCCTGATCTGAGGTGGTGGTAAAGGGGGCCTGATGAGAGATTTCATATTTCCGTTTAATCACTCTGTTTTTGGCATGTATTCTGTGTCATCATCATGGTATCTGAGCATCATGTATGGAAGAGCTAAGTAGCCCCGTTTCTTAATCCTTTAGTAGTGGTAGTACTTGTCCACAACATCAGCTCAAACTTTCATGTCAGAATGCTTTTGGGGATGGGGGAGGTACTGCCTCTGTACCTCTGTGAGCCAGGGATTATCTCAGCTGACTCCAAAAGGATTTCAGGTCTAAGCAGGCATTAACATTTGTCTGAACTCTTAGCTTCCTTTGCATTTTCCCCACTCTTCCTCCACCTTACACTGAAGGTATTTTACACACAAGTGAATGGGATGATGAATGGGGAAAGACTTGTAACTCCCTTTGTAGAGTGGTTTATGACACCTCTTTTGCTCTATAACACTTACTCTACCCCACCCTCGCTTTTCCCAATCAGGATTGTCTGAACTGGAGTTGGGAGTCTCCGATCAACAGTTTGGACAGCCAGGAATGGGTGACCAGATTCCATGGGCAGACAACCCCATGGCCTCCATGAATCGAGTATCTTTGAATAAACCGGATGAGTAAGTACTGTGGGTTTGGATAATCTGCCTTCCCGCCACCCCACCCTCCTCTACCCTCTTACGATATATTTTCAGTAGGCTTACGGTTTGTTCTTCTGTGGATAGAGATTGCCGTGCCAACCCTTGGGTAAAGGTCCCTATGGGTGCGTCCACACAGCGATTGTCAACCCACGGCAGTGAGTGTTAAAGGTAGACAGTCTGAGATCCGCACTATGACTAAAAATAGCAGTGTAGAGGTTTGGGCTCAGGCTGGAGCTTGGGCTCTGAAGCCCGCCCACCCATCTCCTTAGGCTTCAGCTAATTTTAATGCCATGGCATGAGTCTGTCAAACCGGGCTCTGAGACTTGCTTTCACTGGCTGTGTAGGCATACCCGTGGAAGTTACACTTACATGAGGTTTATTAAGTGATCAGACAGCTCAAATGTTGGCCATAATAAGATGTCCTGATATTCTCTAGTCTGATGCACTTGGTTGAGTCGAGGGAGAGGAACGTTCTCACCATAGCTAGTTAAGACTGGAGGAGATACAATAGCACAAGGGTGAAATTCACACCTGTATGCAAGGGCCAGCCAGCACAGTCGGAACATCACTGAGGCACAGGCTTTGTGCTGGCCCTTTTCACAAGGGTGAACTTCACCCTGTGCCTGTACGAATAATATTAGTGCCCTGTCAACGGGGAAAGGTGCCTCATAGACCAGATACACTGAAATCAGTATTAAGACAGTGTGAGAGAGAACGATTTTTTCCAAATAACTAAGGATAGAGTCCATTACAACTACTGCCACCTAGTGGTATAGTTATAAGGTTGCAAAAACTCTGCATGCAGAAACTTTTCTTTGACCTGAATTGAGGCAGAAGGGAGGTACTGTATAGTTCTGCTTGAGCAAAACCTCTGAATGGCGTTTTCCGTGTAGCTATTAAAATAGCTGCAGTTGGGCTTCATCAGCAGTTAATACATCAAGGCTTGTGATGGGGAGGTAAACAGTCTGCTAAATGACCAGCTGTGCTCCTGAAGGAGAACAGAACATTAAGCAATAAGGTGGAGCTATTGGCATCTAACTAGGACAGAACAAAATAGTTTCAGTGAGGCCTTTCCCCAGGAGCAATGGCCATAAATAAAATAAAAGTACTTATTAAAAATTTCATTATATGTAAACTCACAAAGCTAACCAGGGGGCTCTAGAGAGCCTGCCTGTCATGCATGCTACATTTGATGCCCAGATACCAAGGGGATGGGTGCCTTACAGGGGGGAAGGAAGCAGAGGGTGAAATGGCTTCCAGCAATGTTAGGAGTAAATGTGACGCTGCCTCCTTGTATGTGAAAGGAGCAGCACCAGGAATCGTGGAGAGTAGGCAAACCGCGGTCTTGTGTTTAACCCATTGAGGTGACAAGGGTGAGATTTTTGCCATTGCTAATAAGATAGTCCTGACCTTGAATGGGAAGAAGATCCCAATAATCGTAAACAATGCCCACCAGAGGCAAAGTGGTGAGCCTTTCGCCTAGTCCAGAGGGCTTTTCTGGACCAAAAACCCCCAAAGGTCTCGCTCCAGCCCTCAGCAGAGCTTTAAATAAAATCAAATGTCTGTGTAGAGGCTGTTAAACTGCTGGAGCTGTGTCTAGGACAGAATCTGATTACAGGTTACTGGCCGCATGCTCCAGTTTTCAATTTGACAGGCTCTATTAAAGCTCAAATTGAACTTCATATGTAAAGCTTATATGGTTATGTTTGTTATTAACAGAGCTTTCCGTCTTGCTCTGCTGCAAGATACATGTTAACTCGAGTGTGATAGAGCTGTTCTCTTCACCTTATAAAGCTGGTGGGTCTCTGGATAGATGTGGAGCAGTTTGTGGTCACTCTGAGCTGCATGTCTTTAGAAGACTTGGGGTTTCCTTCTGTGCTCTTCTGTACACGTGAGGAAGACATAGGGAGGCTGAGGGGGTTCTGTTCCTGGCTGGCTTGTTTCCCATGAACCATTTTGCTGGAATATATCAGCAGCTTGTTAGAAATGTGTCTGGGACCTGTGATATTTCTGAGGAATAATGGTCCCATTAGCGTAGGGCTTTGCGTTTGTGTTGCCACACCCAGAAATCCCTTTAAGAGATGGCCTGCAAGAAGTAAAATTGCATATCAACCCATAACGAGCAGGCTGTGTAAAGAAGAACATCGGTGCTGTAGTTAAGGCACCAGGCTGGGAGTTTGGAGTTCCAGGTTCAGTTCCCAGACTCCGAGTGACTTTGGGCGAGTCTCTTATTATTTCTGTCTCTGTCCCCTGTCTGAGATGGGGATACTACTCTCCCTTTCTTTGTCTCTTTAGGCTGTAAGCTCTTCAGGGCAGGGACTGCCCCCCTCTCTCTGCGTTTGTACAGTCCTAGCCCAAAGGAGCCCTGAGGTCAGCAAGGGCCTCGTGGCAGTATTGTATTGCATATAAGCCATAGCGCAGCGGTGTCAAACATACCGCCTGCAGGGCGGATCTGGCCTACATGATGTATTTATGTGACCCACATGGCATGCTCCGATTATGCAGAATCTAAGCTTCAATAAAAAAAAAAAGTTTCTAGTCCTCCTGGCGGGGAAAAGAACCTTCCACACGTGAACCACACGTAAGAGACATCAGGATGTCTGCATGGAGCTTGCACCAGTGAGTCAGAAGGGCGAACACCCTTCTCGTGCTAGGTTGGAGCATCAGCACCGAGACCAATGATGTCACGGCACCTCAACATTTACTGACGGTTCTAGTGTGTAGAATGGGGTCGGGATGGGAGTGAAATCCTCGACAGGTGCCATTTGGGAGTTGCCGCAAAGAAGGAAATACAGGAATAAATCAGTCTAGTTACTAGTAACGGCCGCATTGTTTGCTGGCTGTCTGAGTGAACCTTCCACTGCTATCATTGGGGTCTCCGATGTGGATCAAGGGCACTCTGCCAACCTCCAGCCCACAATTTAACCTGGAATCCAGCCCTTTCCTCTGAATTTGATGCCCCTGCTGTGGACTGATGGAGTGTTTGTGTGTACAGGAGCCAGTACACTGGATGTGTAGCTGCAGCTTTAACACACACAAATTTGGTTTGATATGAAGCTACAAGCAGCAGGAATCTTTGTTATAGACTGAAGCAAGCCCCATTCTCCACCTCTCCCTCCCCTTCTTCCTCTGCTCCTGTACTGCAGTCTAAGAAATTCCAGTGCCTTATATTTCTTTCCCTGGATTAAACTATGTGTATTGGCTGCAGTGTTCCTGATCAGATTAGTTTCAGTTACTTACTGTACATCTGGTCCTCATCTGGAGCTAAGAGGATAAACAGGTCTGCTCCTTGGGAACCACTGGCATGTTTAAGCTCTCTCCTTTGTGCTTTTCTAGAAGTGTGATGTGCCATAGCTCCCTTCATTGTGTCAGGCCCAGAAAATCCCATTGACACCAATCAGTCACGTCATTGGAACGGCTCTCATTACATATTAACCTTGTCCCCAAGAATATCAAGGGGGAGAATTCTTCAGGCTTCTTATTTTTGTGCCTGAACAGTTTCCTTTGCTTTAGTGTCAGCTGTTCTGACTTTTCCCAAACCTCTCTGGCTTTGTGTTTCCAAAGAATTCTCCGTACTGAAAACCCGCTGTCCTTCCCAGCTAGCGGGACGTTTGCCAGCACGAAACCTGGACAAATCAAGAAAGTTTGATAGGAATCTTGTTGAGGCTCTGAAACTCAACCCTGCGCACAGGTCCAGCAATAGTCTGAAGTGGTACCTAAACCTTGTGCAGGGGTGCAGTTCACCCTCGGTGCGTTCCAAACATCACTTTGGGTTCGCTTGCTAGATCAGAGTGAGTTGTTGCGCGGACTCAGAACCAGTTAGGCAAGTGAGCATGTCAGCGGGAGGAACCCTGCAGAAGCAGTCCTTCCACGTGGGGTCCTTACAGCTGAAAGGCAGAGCTGTTTTCTACACTGAATGTCTCCGTTTATTTTGTCACCCACACAGCCAGTGCATCACTTCCCAGCTGGACGAACTCCTATGCCCCCCCACCACGCCGGAGGGCCGGAATGACGAGAAAGCCCTCCTCGAGCAGCTTGTGTCCTTCCTGAGTGGCAAAGATGAAACGGAGTTGGCGGAATTGGACCGAGCTCTTGGGATTGACAAATTGGTCCAGGTAGCAAGCGATGTGCTTGGGGGGTGCTGGGGCTGGTAGAGGATTGTGTATGTGGCCAGGTGCTGAGGCCTGATAATGGGTGCAAAGGAGGGCTTCCAACATCTGGTGCTTGCTTGCCAGATGTGGATGGGAACAAAACAGCACATTAGGCTCAAAGAGGATACTTAATACCATGGCATTTTCCAGTGCGCTCTACCAAAAAGTTGGAAAATATCCCCATGAAATACAATATTGTGCCCCCTGCTTTTAAAACGTGATCCCCCGTGGGAAACATCAGCCTCTCAGAGGCAACTGAACGTATTTATCCTCGAATGGCTCATGCAGTGGGAAGTGGGGAGAGTTGGCAGGCTTTCCTGCCTCACCATCTTCCTTTGGGGTTAGAGTGCAGAAGAGAACTCCAGCTGGAATCTCACAAGTAGAGATTCCGGAGCCTTAATTATGCTGCATAATATATGCTTAATGGCCTTGCTGGTACAAAAATGCACAGCCGTTACCACCAAGCCTGGCTTTCATTGCAGCAACCCGTCTCCAATTTAACCGCAGGCTGATGGGTTGTTCCCCCGCTCCCTCAATATTGCCGTTGTGCAGCACATGCAGTGGCCCAGATCCTGCCTCGGAGCTGCGCAAACAGAGCTTAATCCCGTAAACCCCAATGGGGTTCCGCCTGGGTGCACACAGATCCAATGGCAGGATCTGGGCCTCTAAGAATATGCCGGGTTTTCATAAATAATGAAGAACAGCACTGCTTGAAGAAATCCTGATCATAGGAAAGATATAAAGAACAGAGACATACAAGTAATGAAATAGTTTGCGACTATTTCTATAATTTATTTTTCCAGTTCAGACAATACTTACACACGCATGTTTGTTTCCAAAAAAATTATTAGAACCAAAAATCTGTCATTAATTTTAGTGCTCTTGGAATGGACGTAGAAAGGGAGCCCTAGAGAGTGAATTCCTCTCCTCTTCCAAGGCCTGCTTCTTTATCGCTGAACTCAAGGGGGCTTCTGCCACTGAGCCGCCACAGAGCAACCACACAATAGCAGTGCAACTTCTTTATATCGCCCCATCGCTGTGCCTCAGCTTTAATCTAGAGACAAACCTAAATTTTCTTGTGTGACTATTGATTTGGGGTGACTAATCTGAGACACTTTATATAGTGGAGTTGTTTTTCAGGAAATTCCAAGCATCTGCCCTCTCAATAGCAGACCCCTTTTAAGGCGTCTCATCTTGGGCATCAAAATCACTAGCCACTTTTAAAAATGTAGGTCTGAGAGCAGGAGTTCTGTCTCCCTGGCACGTTCAGTCACTGATTCCTCTGCTGAGGCTGCCAATAAAGATGCCAGTTGTGGTATGGTGGTTTTCGTGCCGTGGTCTCCTATCCACCAGGACCCGTATTACAATCTACCAAACACATTTCATACAGGCCACCTAACGCCCATAACCACACCAGTTAACTTTCAGTGTTGTTCTTAGGGAGGATACTAGGCATCTGACTTTCTCTCTAAAATACTGAAGTAAGATGCCTTGGAACACCGAGCCTGGGGCCCAGAGTTATGTGAGATTGCCAATCATCATCCCTCTTGAGCCAGCAAATTCCCTGTCTAATAGTCTATGGCTCAGAGCATCAGCTCATGTTTGGAATTGAATTCCAGCTTTCCTCCCATCCAAGTATCGTTTCTTTAATATTAATCTTGGGTTTTTTCCATGGCTCCAGATGAATCTTTGTAATAACTTATGTAATGCTATAAAATATGTATTGGACATAAATATTTATGGGGACAGCATTCAGAATTCAGGCACCTTTGGGAAGATGTTCATTTCGATAGTTTCCCCCTCGGATACATAATTGAAATGTATCCCATCCTCCTAAACCAGTTCGTATTTCCTTGGGTACGTTGTACAGACTTACCCTTACTCTTACTTGTATTTCAGACCCACCTGGAACCAACTCAAACCTTAGGGTATGTCTTCACTGTGGAGTTACCTTAGCCCACCTCCTCTTCACAAACAAAACCTTCTCAGCTGAGTTTAGTGTTGCTTTCAGCCTGAGCTACCTGGCACGGCGGGGTCTGGGTTAGAGCCTCTGTGCTGCTTTCTCTCAGGCTGGTCACCCACCTACTTTGCAGGGAGGATAGAGTCTTGCTGCACCTTCCCATAATCCCCCACCCCCAAGAATGACAGACAAGGTCTTCCACAATTCACTAGGAAAGAATCATGGAGTGGCTCAGCTAAGTGCAGCACAGAGCCGTGAGATTCCTTCCAGGTGTCTAGCGACACACACGGCTACATGCAGCAGCAAGGGCGCAGTAATTCAGGCATGGTATTGCACACAGAGTGCCTGCTCACACCCAGGCACCGGTCACCTGAGTTAATTCTGCAGGGAAGACATACCTCTAGAGAGTAGCGAAACCTCCGAGTTCGTTTCCCCCGACTCGGACCCGATGCTGAAGGTTGCTGATTGATTTCAAGCACCTGATGGGATAGGGCTCCTAATCTGGTAACTGATTATGTCTAAGACCACCTCTCTGTTGCAGCATCAGACAAGGAGTTGTGGTCAGGTGAGGTGCTCAAGTTAACCTAGCCCCCAGTTTAATGAGGCGGGGGTGAAATCAGGATGTTTTCAGTGAGCTGTTCTCCATTGTGGAATTTACCTCCCCCATTGAGGGAAAGATGGTTTTTTTACATAGCACATAGTTAACTTGTGGAACTCAATGCCACAAGCTTTGCAGTTTACTCTCTGCTGGGTCCCAGTTATTTTGCTCTACCTGGAGTAAAGCTAAAGCAGAACAGTGTGTCTCCTATTTCCCCCGTGGAAGCTTCCTCAGAGTGGTCTGATTCGGCTTACTTGCATATACTGACCCCGATCCTGGCCTGCAGCTGAGGAGCCCACAATACAGCTCCGGAAGGCACGCTCCTGTGATCCAGATCTGACTGTGCATTGGTCTGGTCACCCTGTGTAAGTGAAGGCAGCTTGAAGGCTATTACTCCAGCTGTCAAAGGCTTCTAGGGCTATCATGATAGCTGGGGATTGCTGGGGCACAGGGAAGCCCCAGCTGCAACCTATTACCTCTGGCCACCTCCCCTTTGCAGACTGCAATAGGAGGGTAATGTAGGAGATACCATGCTGTTCCCCTGGCCTTGAATTGATTCTCCCACTGTCGCAGCACAGCGCCCCTTCAGGCACCTAAATAAATGGCTAGATTTTCCAAACAGCTCATCTCCTAATGCAGACTATCGAGAGTCACCCCTCCCACCACCACCACTCCTGAGAACAACAAAGAATCTCTTGCCCCTTCCTCCGCTCTCCTTGACAACAATAGGAGATGAGCTCCCTGGAAAATCTGGACCCAACTGCATGTGCTGAGCTCTTCTGAAAATTGTGGCCTTTGTTCATGCCCAAGCAAAAAGTCCTTTTCCTTGTGAAGGTTTTTAAGGCCTCTGGCCCTGAGGAGTGAGGTACTAATGGTTCTTCTGCAGTTGCTTTTTGGGACATTCCCAATGACTAGACTCAAGCAGGCTGGAGTGTGGTCGGCTGTACCAGTGTAGTGAATGCCAGGGCCAGCCGTTGGGTTAATCCTAGGAGCAGTCCATTCGGGACTATGCTTGAGGAGCCTGAGAAGTGAAGGTTGGGCCCTTTGAGTCGGGGTTTGCTGCCTTCTGTGAGAAGTGGAACACATGGCAGTTGCTTTGTGTGTTAGAAACTCTGCTGGGATTTTTGTCAGCTAAGAAGGGGTCTCACTTTTGTCCCCCTTTTTAAACAGGGAGGCGGCCTGGAAGTGCTGACTGACAGATTCCAGCCACAGCAAGCGACACCGTCTCTTCTAATGGATCAGAAGCCTGGCCTCTACCCCCAGCCTTATTCTTCTGCTTCTCCTACTGCTAATCTCCCCAGCCCTTTCCAAGGCATGGTCAGGCAGAAACCCTCTTTCGGGCCCATGCCGGTTCAGGTACCACCGCCCCGAGGGGCTTTCCCCACCAACATGGGAATGCAGCCACGGCAGACTTTAAACAGGCCACCGACCGCTCCCAACCAGCTGAGACTTCAGCTGCAGCAGCGGCTACAAGGGCAGCAGCAGGTGACTATTCACTTTGGTTTTATGGGGAATCCAGAACTCACGGCTAGAGCTGCCCAGCAGTCAACCTCTTCCCCTCCAGATGTGCTGTGCAGGTTACAGAAGTCTGTGAACTGCCACACACTGGGTTTTGCCCAGCACGTCTCCTTATGTGGGGCCAGCCCATGCCACAAGCTCTGTCATTAGGATGCCCCACTGTAATAGAGCAGCAGAAGGATGTGCACCAGGAATAACGTAAAGGAAAGTGCTGTGTTGCCATTTTGTAGTTAGAAGACATTGTGGGGAAACTAGTAAAAGTCCCTTTAAATGAATTACCTGCTTCTCAGATAGGTAGGGAGGAAAAACGCAAGGAAGAAAAATGCTGTTAGAAGCCAGTTGCCGTTGGTGGGTCTGTAGATGTTCTGTACCTGACCAAAACAGGTGTAGAGCTGTAAGGTCTGTCTGATTTCCTCCTCCTCCAGCTGATACACCAAAATCGGCAGGCGATCCTGAACCAGTTTGCAGCAAATTCTCCGGTCGGCATCAGTATGAGGGCAGGCATGCAGCCACAGATTACGCCTCAGGTAATGGTAGGAAGCCACATGTTGGCAGCCTTATCAGCCCAGTGGACATTAGTACTGTATCACTAAGGGCCTACATCATTGATCTGTAAGCAGCAATACGCTCAGTCTATTCCAGTGAGAAGAACTGCAGAGTGAGGTACTACTCAACGTGAGTAAGGGTAGTAGGATACGGCCCCAAATGAATTTTCTGTGTAGCTGACTGCGGATATTATCTTCAGCCTCTACACAGCATTTCCACCTGGAAATTCTCTATTGCTGCTTGGAGATGAGTGGTGCTGGCTTGGACTTCATTGAGAAGGGTCCCTTTGTAACGGATGACATTCTCTTATAGTTGAATCTCTAGTGCAGGGGTCGGCAACCTACGGCACACGTGCCAAACACGGCACGCGAGCCGATTATGAGTGGCATGCAGCTCCCCTGACACAGTCCCGGCCCTCAGCCCCCCCGCCCACCGCTCTCCCCTGTGGGGGCAGGAGGCAGAAGCTTGGTTCTGCGGCAGCCAAGCTTCCCCCCTCCCCCGCTTCTTCCCCCAGCGGTGCTTTCCTGCCCCGCCTCCTCTCCTTCCTTGGCCAATCAGCTGATGGCCCTGTGGGGTGGGGGGAGAGCGGCAGCTTGCACACAGCTCTGTAGAGGAGGCAGAGAGAGGTAGGGACGGAGCCTGGGGGAAGGGGGTGGAACAGGGCATATCCCTTCCAGCCCCCTGCCATGAGCCGCTCAGGACAGGGGGCTGGGAGCACCCCTACGAGCCGAGCACCCCAGCCTTCTGCCCTGAACCCCTCCACCCCAACACACACCCAGCCTTCTGCCCTGATCCCTGAATCCCCCCCACACACACCCAGCCTTCTGCCCTGCACCCGCACAGCCCCATCACTCTGCCCTGCACCTCCCACACCCCCCAGCCCTCTGCCCTGACCCCCCCACACCCCAACACACACCCAGCCTTCTGCCCTGCACCCGCACAGCCCCATCACTCTGCCCTGCACCTCCCACATCCCCCAGCCCTCTGCCCTGACCCCCCCACACCCCAACACACACCCAGCCTTCTGCCCTGCACCCGCACAGCCCCATCACTCTGCCCTGCACCTCCCACATCCCCCAGCCCTCTGCCCTCACACACCCACACCCCAACACACACCCAGCCTTCTGCCCTGCACCCGCACAGCCCCATCACTCTGCCCTG